TTATTCTTACAATCATTTAATCTTATAATATCTATTTTTTTAATATCGTTATTTAAATTAAATTTGCATTCAATATTTTTCTTTTAATTAGTAATTCTATTTACAACTCAAATAAATATAATAAATACTTATTGTACAGTTTAATAATTAATTGTAATTTACATTTATAACAATTAATCATTTACAATATTTACACTTATTATTCTAATGGAAGACTCACGTGATATTGTTTGTTGTGATAATTCTTGGTTGATTACTATAACTAAGTTACATCTATATTATTAATATATACTTATATTACTTATATAGAAATATTTTATAAGGTTCTAAGTCTTGATTATGTAAAGCTGACGAGAAAATTTCTCAGTTTTATAATTGGAACATTTACAGCATATGTTTTTTCTGGACTACTCTAATGCTGTTGGCCGCAGCTGGCCTTTACAGCTTCAACGGACGATACGGGGCGAGTGCAGATGGTACTCAAAACAAGGAAGGACTTATGGAGCGGCTGAAGGCCAACTCCCGCCTGACGGATACGACTTTAGTCCGAGGGCACCGCTAATAGTTCGAACCTCGGCTCAGGCCATCTTAAATTCGATCCCCATTTGTACTGAACGGAGGATCTTTTAGGATAGGATGAAATTTTATATATTTTATTTCTTAAAGAAATTTATTATCAATTTTTTTTTTTTTTCTAATTATATTTGTAAATTTGTTTATTTTTCGTTTGTTGGTCATAGCTGATGATTCATCGGAAGAAAATGACGGCGAAGTACTCCCAACCGCTGGATGGACGTATTTAGCGGCTGGAGAACAGCTCATGTCTGATGGATACGACTTTATTTATGGGCACCATTGGGAGCTCAAACCTTGAATCAGGCCGTCATAAATCTCGTCCCGTAGGAATGGGGAAATCGATTGGAAATATCTTTAATTATATGTAGACCATTTCTTATTATAATATTTTAGTTGTATTGAATTATCATATTGTATTGAATTATGTTTGTATTGAAGACATGAATGTGGATGGTTATAAGGGAGGAAAGCCGAAAAAGAGATGGATGGAGTGTATGAAAGATGACATGGTAAGAAAGGAAGTAAATAACAAGATGACTGCGAACAGGGATGAATGGAAGCGAAAAACATATTACGACGACCACAAATAAATGGGATAAGGAAGAAACAGATGATATGTTTGTATTGAAGATTTAAATAAATCAATCATTTAAATAATTCAAATAAGTCAATTAATAAATAATTACAGTATTTTAAATTGAAGTAGCCATTACGACAGCTTTACATAATCTAGTTCGTACACGAATATATATTATTTTATTATTAAATATTTATTTTGTGCCTCTATAGGTACATGTACCATTCAGGCGTTGCTAAAATGCTTCACCCTAGCCATCTTTATCAATTATTTTCTTTTCTTACCTAATAATTATAAAGAAAATTAATATATTTTTTTTGTTTAATAAAATTTTATTAAATCTTTTTTTTTTACTTAACAAGGTCATTATTAAAAATAAATCGTCAGATCCCGTGGTTTTTCCTAATTGTATAGGTATTTTTTCTTGTTCCGTAGCTTGAAAGAATTGTTACAAAGATTTTATTAACCACATTTGACTCATCTAAAAATCTATGAATCAAACACGCAACATCTAATACTAAAAGGAAGTTCTAAAATCGACAATAACGTTTTGTTTTAAGGTTCAATTTACAAAATGTTTAGTTTTTGAATTAGTGCTGTTTATTATTAAGCATGCAATATGCTCAACCACAGAATATTTAATAGTCGTTTAAAACAATTAGTGTGTAGTCGATTAATTGATGAATTGAGATCAGTCCTAAGAATATCTAGACAGATTTATATTGAAGAGGTTATGTTATTTTTTTTCTATGGTTTTAAGACAGATAATAAAGACAAAATGGCGCGAACTCAATTTCTGTATCATAAAAAATATAACCTACTATAGTTTCGTACTGTTTATTTTCATAATCCCCTTTAACACGTTCGAGAAAATTCTAGAAGGTAAAAAACTGTTTTCATACAATTAAGAAATGTTTACTTTTTCGCCATTTATACCCATCTCTTTCAAACATACTACAGACTATAAATATATTTATTTACATTTGAAAATATATTCGATTTCCTTAATTATGTACTAATTTGGATTGCATTTATTAGAACAAGTTAAATAAGGCAGAGCATCTGCTTAAATATATTTTTTATCATAGACACAATGCAATAATTACTTGCAGTTTTAGCGCCAAAAACATCTATACAAAATAAAAATAGTTTTGTTACTTGGAACGGTTAATTTAGTTCGCAATTCTTCTGAGAACAGCTCATAGTTCGTTCGCTCCTAACCTTGTCTATAGGGATTATTTTTGAATTATGATACTTTTTAATTTTCTATTCACATCTTTAGTAATATTTTTTAAGGCTGCAAATATGTGTTTTGTTTTTAACTATTCTCTTTAGTGTGTTATTAAATGAACGAAAGAGCGAAAGATTTACGAACTTGATCACGTAGTTCTTCTAGGCGAGCTCTTCAGCAATTTAATTCATTCTCGAACTATAGCAGTTTAGCACACACCTTACGATGGTCGCATGTACAATTCTTCGCACATTTGTATTCATGAGTATAAGAAAATTGTTTGTATCGGTCTGGGTGTTTTCTATGTATTTACAAAAATGTATCTATGTATTTATATCAGTTGTTTACTACCGTTAATACAAGCTATGCTTATCGTGGGACTAGATGGCGCTGTGTTAATTGTCGTTTTATATTCGTCATCATCATCATCATCGCAGCCCGGAAGACGTCCACCGCTGGACATAGGCCTCCCCCAAAGATCTCCATGACGATCGATCCTGCGCTCGCATCCATCTGCCTTCCTGCGATCTTGGCCGACCCACTTTGCTGGAGGCCTTCCCACGCTGCGTCTTCCGGTCCGCGGTCGCCACTCGAGGACTTTACTGCCCCAACGGCCATCTGTCCTACGAGCTGTGTGCCCTGCCCATTTCCCCTTCAATGTCGCAATTCTTCGGGCCATGTCGGTCACTCTGGTTCTTCTGCGGATCTCCTCATTTCTGATTCGATCGTTTATTATTATTATTAGTTTTATATTACTATATTATTATTCTAGGGTATATAGGCCTTACTACTTTAAATGATCCATGAATTACACTTAAAGGATATATATGTAGTAAGTACTAAACTAAATAGAGTTACAAATTAGCAGTAGACAATTAAAAACGTCACGTCTTATAGATTCTATAGGTCGTATAGTTTATTAAACACTTTCGAGAATATCTTAGGAGTGTGTCGTAAAGTAACGTGACGATTTCACTTATAAAATCTAGTGTCTTCATGACCTACCCTATTGTAACAAAGTTTTAATACTCTGTGCTTGGCTGGAATTTAATATCCCAGTCTAGTGAATATAAAATTAAATAGGTACTCTGTGCGAATTATTATAGTAATTTAAAAAAATATCTACATACTCTGTGCGATAAATTATAGTGATTAAAAAATCTACATACTCTGTGCAAATTATTTCAGTTTTTTGTGAATTATTTTGTGTAAATGACGTAAGTATGTTTTACATTTCTAACGTTCAATTAATACAATAACACCTACTCATATTTAAAGATAGATTTTTATCTAAATTGAGAATTGTAAAAAGTATTTATTTAGATATAACGACATTTATGAGGTAATTCGGAACTATACCGATTTTAATTCATTAATTACAATTATTAATAAGCGATTAATATAAAATATCTACAACACGTGTTCTAAGTATTACAAATTATGACGTTTACAATTTACAAAAACTCAAGAACTACACAGACGCGTCTACGTATCACTACGTTCGTACGATTTGTAAAATTGAAAAATTTAGGGAGTCAAAATCAATTGTAATTGACTGGTAGGTTCAAATTCAAAGGAAAAGTAAATGAAAATAAAGAAAAAAAAATAATAGGAACAAAATTTTAATGTGAGAAATAAAACAGAAATTAATAAACATTAAATTTACACGAAATTTAAAAGTGCATTTACACAGTAATATAGTTATAACATTTACAATGATTATTATATTGTCCTTCACACAGTATTTTCATTGAAATTACATTTATATTACAGATTCAAAGTTTAATTATTAAAAAATAAACGCATTACTAGATATTATAATAATGTTATATAACTTTATATTATATACCTTACAATTTATACGAGGAGAAGAAATTATTGTAAATGTTTGTAAATTCTATAATTGTAATAACATTTAGAAGATAAAGATTACAATAATTTATACATTGTCTTGAATGAATCTGTATAAATAATAAATGAGCCAGATTACGATAAAAACAAGGATATTATAATTATAGTAATTGATAATAAATAAAACCTACGATAAGATAATTTATATATTTAGACCGTGATAAGTCACGAATAATCTTATGCTAAACAGGTCTATCTGTAAGTTAAGGCCCGGCTAACAATGTATATATAAATGTAACGTGAAATAAACAAGAAAGTTTAAAAATAATTATGACAAGTAGTCGTTAATATTTTTTTTATTTTTTTTTTTAATTGCTTAATAAGTTTTGACTAGATTATGACATAACATAATAATAATTATTAAATTAGTATTTTTTAAATGATGCGTGGATTTTCATTTGTAATGTAATATGTTACATTTGAATATTCTTATTGAGGTTATATTTTTTACAAATTTAATATTGTACGTATTATTATGTAATTACATATTTTTGTTTTACTAATATTCATGCATATTATGAATGAGGGAATATATTAATTTATTACATTATAAAATATATATAGTGTTATATTTATTTTATAATGTTACATAATATTAGGCAGATGAATTTACACCTGATGCTACGAAATGGTTTTCTGAATTTAATAAGTATACCAACAATGTAACATACTAAACTACAATTAATTGAACAGTAAATGTTACATCACAAATGATCAAGTGTAACATTACATTACAACTGATCAATTTGTAATGTTACATCACGGTTGGATTACTAATCTGTGATGTTACTGGAATGGAGTTCGATCGCAGTTGCAAGCGGCACCACCCTGACCCTGGCGGCACTGGGCATCGCACCATGCTGACCAGCCGTCTGCGGTGTTCAGAGTTCGGGAGGAAACTGATGATTTCGGAGTCAGGGAACTTAACTGCTCGCAGGGTGGGCATCCTATGGAGAATATCACACTTAATTTTTAACTTTTCTTGTTCTTAAAAGTTATAATTCAGGGTATACCTCCCTCGCTTGACAGCCTCGGTGGTCTTGCGGTTACAGCCAGTTTTACTTCGAATAGTCACAGGTTCGATTCCTCAACCCATAACACAAGCTCTGTTTAACTTGGGACTAAATGGCGTTATGTGAATTGTTCAATGCTATTCTTATATTATTATTATTTGTCAATACTTTAAAAGTCAGTCAGCGGAGCCCCTAATAAAATAGACACCTAAATTTACTTAAACTTGAAACTTACCACCAAGCACGTAATGGTCTTCAATGCAAAAAGCCGCGCAGATTCTGATCCAATCCACATTCTTGTCCAGAACCTCTTCCTCCTTCTTGGCGCAATTGCAAAGCGGTTCACCTGGGCATCAATTTCAAATCTCAGACTCAAAATTATTTATTAACATATATAGAATCGCAGTTACGTGGAGAGACGACATACGTAGGGTTGCGGGTAATAGATAGAAACTAGATGAGAAAGTTCGAAGATCGGTTCCAGTAGCTCGCCTTGGGAGAGGCCTATGTTCAACAGTGGACTGCAGTGAGCTGAAGGTGTTGTTGATGATTATTATAATGAGAGGACCTTTCGGTTATCCTTACCGTCCAGTTCGGCAGCAACTTCAGTTGAGAAGAAACTCAACTTGTACATTTTGTTTATTTTACTATTACTATTTTAGTAACATCTATCTTTAAATTTAATTATTGCGACGTTCCTCGTGAGGTCGCTCTAACAGACTCGAGGGGCAAGGTATAGCGTATAAATGTTATTTATAACAGTTGTCTAGTATCCATAACACAAGCTCTGCTCAGCTTCGGATTAAGCAGAGTTTGTTTTATGGGTACTATAACACAAACTCTGCTCAGCTTGGGATTAAGCAGAGTTTGTTTTATAGGTACTATAATACCAACTCTGCTTAGTGTTATAGTATTTGTAACTATATATTAGTACTTATAGCATTAAGTACCAATAACACAAGCTCTCCTTGGGGCTAGCTGTGTGATTGTTTTTTAAATTTAATAACTTACCGAGGTAATTGTCGCAGAGTGTAGGGCATACTTCAAATCTTGGATGGCCGTAGGCCACATCTGTGGTGTTCACAGCCTCCGTTAGGGCACTCTGCAGACCTATAGGTATCAGATCGTGGCAGGCTGCACCGCATACTTCTCCACCCAATCCTGATGAAGAAAACTTTATTTAAAAGGTGTTATCCTGATGAAAACCTTAATACTGGTGACAACGGGCTAGTGCAACTTAGTCGAAACCTTCAAGAAAAGTGTTCCTTCTTAAAGGACGGCAACGTTCTTGCAATTCCCCTGGTGTTGAGGGTGCTCATGGGCGGTAATGACTTACCATCAGGTGAGCCGTTTGTTTGTCCCCTATGCTATAAAAAAAAGCTTGATTTTTTAGTAGAAAGTACCTTGTCTGATATATAAAATTCTTGTGTAACAGTGTTAGTTGCAATACTCCGAAACGGCTTCACCAGTTTCGTTGAAATTTTATATATCGATAGATCTGAGAATAGGTTGTTATCTATTATTTATATATTTAGTTATAAGGGTAGCCCATCCGAATTTTGTTTTCTTGTTTTTTTCGGCAATTTTTTCATCGTGTGGCTTTAAAAATGATTTTGAATGAATGAAAAACACTTTATTGTTCCTCTCACAGAAAGAGTAATTACATAAATTAATATGTACATTAAATAAGAAAATAATAACAAAATAATTATAATATAGAGGTAACAATGGGCGGCCTTATCGCTAAATAGCGATTTCTTCCAGGCAACCTTAGGATGGAGAGGAGTGATTAGACTGTGTCTGGTCGAGGTATAACAATTCGTTGTTGGATGTACAATTTACATATCATATACACATACATATAACTACATAATAATCATTATATATAAAATATACATACACACATATATATACATACATATATACATACAAATAAATTAAATAATATCTATACAATAGCGACGTTACTATGCAGATAAGTTTCGTGAATAATATTTTTTAACGCTCGATTTAAAAGCAGGCAGTGATGTCAATTTACGTATGGGAAGTGGCAGATCGTTCCATAGTCGGACAGCAAGTACCGTGAAGGACATGTCGTAAAAAGCAGTATGATGTACTGGTGTCTTTAACTGGAGATTCTCCGATGACCTAAGATTGGCGTTATTAGAGCTATGAAGGAAAACAAACCGCTCCTTCAGATAGTTAGGAGTTGAAGGGTTATAAAGGATATTATGGAGAAGGGAAAGAATGTGAGTATTCCGGCGAAAGCGAATAGGAAGCCACTTGAGTTTAGTGCGAAACTCGGAAACATGATCAAATTTTCGAAGACCGAAAATAAATCTTATAAGAGTATTTTGAAGTCGCTCAAGCTTATTAAGTTGGTCTTCTGTAAGATTAGAGTAACATGTATCGGCGTAATCAAGTATGGGATGAAGAAGAGATTGAGATAGCGTAATTTTGGTAGCAATGGGCAGGAAATTGCGCAACCTCCGTAATGACCCCAACGCTGCAAATATTTTCCTGCTAACTGCTTGAATTTGCGGTCTCCAATTAAAAAAGCTGTCAATATGAATGCCCAGGTTTTTGACAGAAGTACTAAAGGGAATTACTTCGTCATTCACTTTAATTTCAGCGATAGTCGACCAGTCGATCCTGTTAATTAGCCTGGAGCTGCCTACTATAATGACTTGAGTTTTTGTAGGATTAATTGTTAATCCAAAAGCTTTACTCCAGTTTGTAATGTATGTCAAATCACTATTAACTACGGAAATAGCGTCATTGAAGTTTTCTAGTGGAGCCTGATAATAAATTTGTAAGTCGTCTGCATATAGATGGTAGGAAGAAGTTAGTAAGTTAGAAATTGAGTTTATAAAAACTGTGAAAAGTAAGGGAGATAAAACGCCACCTTGTGGAACACCGGCAAACGTATCACACCATGATGAAAATGTATCATCAATGCGGATTTGCTGCCGACGCCCAGACAAATAATTGTGAAACCATTCAACTACAGGTGGAGATATGTTAAGAGAGCGTAGCAATTCCTCGAGGATATCAAATTTTCATAAATTTTAACCCTTCTGCCACTAACTTTTCTCGGTATACCACCAATACCTCCTCGGTAGGTCTGAGCACAGGTTTTTTATATATAGTGTTAAGTGTAGCTCACCCGATTTAATATTTTTTGTTTGGCAGCAATTTTATTTCTTTATTTAAATAATATTTTTCCTAAATTTTCACACTTCCACCATCAACCCCTATTTTTTACATGGCGATATCAATTTATATGGCAAAACAACGTTTGCTGGGTCGGTTAGTTCACTATAAACTAACCCTTCTGTGAGAAATGTGCGTGGTGGGCCGGCCTAATATGGTGGCTGGCTCATCCGTCTCTACTACTCTTGAACGGGTGTTGCTTGTGTGGACTGGTCTGTTCAGGTTGCGAACACTGATTAGATTTTTTGATTTTGTTTATTTTTTTACATAGCATATGCTGGTGGTCACTCTATTCTCCCAAATTTGAATTTAAATGAATCTGTATTATTGTAAACATGTACAACATTTATATGAAAAGAATACGAGCTGAGTTTCTTGTCAGTTCTTCTCATCTCGAAATCATTCCGAACTGACGGTAGATTTGACATATCATAAGAGTATGTAATAGATCTATATGAAAAAGATATTTTAATTTGATTTTGAATTTGAAATTAAACCTACCTGTTAATATTTTTTTATAGCTATATAGCTATAACCGACTGTTACCTACTTTTTCTTGTCCCCGTCACTGTTCTTTGTTTCTTTCTTTCATTGTAATTGATGATTTCACTATATACGGAAGTACATTAATTTATCTTTCTTTCATTGTACAGTAATTAATCTTTTGACAACATACGGAAGCATATTATTTTTATTTATTCACAATTACATGGTTTTATTGCAATCTGTCGATAATATAACTTTTTAAACCTATCTATATATATATATATAAAGGTGACTGACATGGTGATCTGTCAACGCACAGCCCAAACCACTGGACGGATCGGGCTGAAATTTGGCATGCTGGTAGATGTTATGACGTAGGCATCCGCTAAGAAAGGATTTTGATTAATTCTACCCTCAAGGGTATAAAATAGGGGATGAAAGTTTGTCAATTTTAAACCGATCGGGCTGAGACTTTGCATGCATAAATCTACTATGACGTAGGCATCCCTAAGAAAGGATTTTGATAAATTCCACCCCTAAGGGGATAAATTAACGCGAGCGAAGCCGCGGGCAAAAGCTAGTTCTCTTTCTCTAGATGACAGTTCACGTATATTAAATACTAGTCGTTCGCGTGGAATTTAACTTTATTTTACAACAAACTACTCAATTTGCCAGAAAAAAAAAATTCAAACGTGTTATAAAATATTGTAAAAAAGCTTATTATAAAATTGAAGAATTTATAAATGATAATAATGTTTTTGTAGAAAATATCTAACTTAAAATTCATAGCGCTGACAATGTTATCTGATTGAACAGAGATTAAGTGCGTAGCGGTTTCTATGTTGATTGTCGCATGCCTAATCCTTGTTGTTAATTAAATATAAGTAAATCAATATTTATTTAAAAGAGCAACACTCGAATTTCTTCCGCAATCTTCTTATGATGAGTCTGCGTTCCGAATGAGTGGTAGAATAAAAATATGACTATTCAAAAGTGCTTGTAATGAATTTATTTGAATAAAGATTATTTCTATTTCTAATAATCATAGTTTTAATTAAGAACTCTTTGATATTATTTCAAATTTCGTTTTTGTGTTTCTATATATAAAATACTAGCTGACCTCGCGAACTTCGTTATGTCTCAGTATTAAATAACATGTCAAAGTTCAGTTACACAATAAATTTCTGAACACAACCTATTTGACAGGTACGAGCAGTTTGTATGGGAAAAAGAAATTGTTGTTTTTACTATTTTCCTCGCAATGTTTCCATATTTTAACACCGTTTAAACCTTGACTTCCACGAATATTTCAAGACTAAAATTAGCCAAATCGGTTCAGCCATTCTTGAGTTCTAGTGAGACTAACGAACAGCAATTCATTTATATATATATATATATATATATATATATATATATATATATATATATATATATATAGAGAGAGAGATAACATCTATTCAAAAGAGCAACACACAAGTTTCTTGCTCATTCTTCTTGTGCTGAGTCTGCGTTCCGAATGAGTGGTAGAATCAAACATGTAACTATTCAAATGTTCTTATATTGAGTTTATTTGAATAAAGAAATAGAAATATTATTTCTATTTCTATTTTTAATGGAGAACTCCTTGATATTATTTTACATTTCTTTTTTGTTTTTCTTTGTAGGTATATGTTATACATTTCATGTATATATTTATATATTTCTATCAGATATAATCTAGTTTGTATATAGCACAGATTCTGCTCACTTTACGAGATTAGATTTTTTTTAAATATTTCATTACTAGATATAAAATATATATAATTGTAGCTTTTTTCCTGAAATACATAAAATCCCTCTAAAACTAAGAAGGACTTAACTTAGAAGGAAAAATCTCCCAATAAAGTAATCTGCTGTAGATATTAACTATACTAAAGTTTTTGTTTTATTTATTGTCCGATAATTGGTAAATCATTAACTGATTCTTTTTTATATTTTTTTCTCAACTACTTTTATTATCACTACGACTGATTTAATCTTATTGTGTTTTTATATTTGAGCCTAAATAAATTAGTGCTAGTTGGTAGTTTGTATTCACACGTTTTGACTTGTAAAATGTGAACTTACAAGGATTGTTTAAAAGAGCAACACACAAGTTTCTTGCTTATTCTTCTTGTGATGAGACAGCTTTCCGAATAAGCGGTAGATTAAAAAAAAATTGTTGACTATTCAAAAGTGCTTAAATTAAGTTTATTTGAATAAATGATTTTCTATTCTATTCTATTCTATTCTCAACATAAAACCCAAACATGTGATTTCACTAAATATAAAAACATGTTTTGTGATATTGCAACCTATAAACCACAAAACAATAATTATTGGTATATTTATAACAAAAAATATTATAATTTAACATAATTGTAAAAGAAAAGAAAAGAAGGACAGTGAATTTTAAAACAACGTCGCGTATTAGATTTGTTATTTATAATTACGACGGTAGGGAAAAAAAATTATAATATAAAAAAAATACGTTCATAAGCGGCTAAAATATATATGAATAATTTATTTTTGAAATTGAATTACACGATTAATTTGAAAGGAAATTTTTTTTATTAATAATGGGTTTGCGCTTGGTTTTACCTCATCTGATGGTAAATGATGGTAAGACATAGGATGTAGCGCGATTACCCAGAAGAAATAATAAATAAATAAATAAATAAAAAGTAAATAAAAATTTTTGTTTGTTCCTCTTGATACAGACACATAATTATTTTTCCGCCCGCACAGTTAAGAAATTATTATTTAATAAACACTATTAAATATTAATTCATTTATGTTGGTACTTAATTTTTATAATTTTGAGACACAAATATTATAGAAACAAACAACTTACCGTTGAAATAATATCCGAAAATCGTCTTAACATCGTAAGAACATATCAAATATCAATTTATTACATTTTACACAAGCACATATATAGCACTATAGTCACAAACATGGCTGCATATGACATTTCCTTCACCAAAAAAAAAACGAACAAAAGAAAAAAAAATCCGAATTAACCTGCGTGGCACAGGTCCGCACAGAGGTTCTTGCGAGCGGGCACTGAGGGTGTCCAAGTATTCATCCCCTTTCTGAACTGAGCGAGATATATCCTATTCAGTTCCCCGCCATCGTATTTCAACTGCAAAACGACTTCGGGCGTCTCTAGTCGCCTCTTTTCAATTGTTTGCACTTGAGTCTCCATTGGCTGCTCCTCGGGCAGACTTTCCTCTAATTCGAGGGTATCGCATGACGCAAATGCAAGTAAGACCACGCCCAACGCGAGGGTTAACAATTTTCCCGCCATCTGTGGAAAGAAGCGTATTCTTTTTTCAAAATTCCTTCGCGTTTATTAAAAGTAAGTATGGCGGCGTCGACTATGGCTGTATTTGTTAGACAAGATGACGTTTTAATTATCTGTTTTAAGTCTAGATTCACCTAAATACTTTTTATTATCGTGATATCAGTGTGGTATGATAAGGACGGGCTCTGATAAGTAAAGGAAAATGAAATAAATATAATAATAATATCTGCACGATCGCCATATTTTTTTTTTTATGATAAATAGAGCAGGAACTCACTTGTAAGATTATTCCTTTGTATTTTTTTGGAATTTTTTTTTATAATAATACCTACACGAATCCCGCCATTTTTTTTTATGATTAAATAGAGTAAGAATTAACTTGTATGATATTTTCTTTGTATTTTTAAGGTATAAAATTGTCTTTGAATCGTGATTAATGAATATATATTTCTAATGTTTTTTTGTTATTGTTAATTCTTAAACATATCATTGAATACTAAATGCAGAATATTAATAACATTAAATCGTAATTAAAGTATTTCGATATTTTTTGATGTCTTCCTTGGTATACTAGCAATGCCCGTGAATTTACCCGCGTGGAATGATGACCTTGGGTAGCATTTTTAATCTTATATATAAAATTCTCGTGTCACAGTTTTCGTTCCCATACTCCTCCGAAACGGCTTGACCGATTCTCATGAAATTTTGTGAGCGTATTGAGTAGGTCTGAGAATCGGCCAACATCTATTTTTCATCCCCCTAAATGTTTGGGGTAGTCCACCCCTAATTTTTTTTTTATTTTAAGGCAAAACAACGCTTGCCGGGACAGCTAGTTATTTTATAAATAAATTATGCATGACATTGTTCTAGCTTCAAAAATGACGAATTTCCATACAAACTTTCATCCCCTATTTATTTTAAGGGTATTTTTTTACAAACCTTTAATGCGATATTTATTTATATTTAATCAACTAAAAAAATATTTTTCAAACTTCTAGCTTTAAAAATGACGATACTTCCGTACATCCCTTCATCTCCTCTTCTACCCTTCAGAACATAGGCTACTTTTTAATACGAAAGAGGGGTTCCTTTCGCATTAAAAGGTTGCCTAAGTCCTCTCTCAGAGTTTAAACTATCAGACTATATATATAACTAGAAACCGATTTAAATAAAATTTGATACAAAATTTATTTAAATATGTTCTCTAGTTTTGGCGTGCAAGAGCAACAGACAAATGAACAGAGTTACCTACATTCGCATTTAATATTATAAATGAGTAGGTATGTATGTTAGGATATAAAATAATAATTATAATAATTCCTTTTTTTTCTATTCTACGATGGTGGCAAACAGGCATACGGCCCATCTGATGGTAAATGGTTACCGTAGCCTATGGACGCCAATTATATATATCTACTAGCTGTTCCTGAGACTTGGTCCGCGTGGAATTTAACTTTATTTTCCCAAATTAAAGTAGCCTAAGTTAATAATAATAATAATATATTTGAATGTGTTTGAATATATTACCCCCGTAAAAAGGGAGATATAATAAATATATATATATATATATATATGTAATAATAATAATAATAATCTCAGGACAATTCACACAGCGCCATCTAGACCCAAGTTAAGCTAGCTAGAGCTTGTGTTATGGGTACTAGATAACTGATATATACATAGATATTATTTTTTTTGTAAATACATACATATTTTACATAGAAAACACCCAGACCGATACAAATAATCATACTCATGAATACAAATGTTTGTGCCGTGCGAGGAATCGAACCCGCGACCATCGGTCGTAAAGCGGTGTGCTTGACCGCTAGACCACCGAGGTCGTCACTCCTTACTATATCAGCTACCTACCAAAAAAAGTCCCGTCAAAATCGGTCTAGCTATTTCAGAGATTAGCCGGAACAAATAGACAGGCAAAAATTATAAAAAAATGTTATTTTGGTATATGTAACGTATATACATTCATATGCATGTAGTAAAAAACGGTTATTTCAATATTACAAACAGACACTCCAGTTTTATTTATATGTATAGATGTATAGATGATTCATATGATATACAAAAGAGGTATCCTATATTCATATTCATTAATTGAATGCTTGGTAATAATAAAAGATAGTAATCTTATCTTAAGTTATCTTTTGTTATCTTATATTGTCTGCCGGCCTCGGTGGTTCAGTGGTTTAGCACATCGGCCTACTACTGATAGTCGCGGGTTCGATTCTACGCACGGTACAGACAGACAGTCTGGGTGTTTTCTATGTATAATATGTATGTGTTTATTATATATATATTTTTTAATCTATGTATTTATATCAGTTGTCTAGTGCCCATAACACAAGCTTTAGCTAACTTAACTTGGGTCTAGATGGCGCTATGTGAATTGTTCTGAGAGTTTATTATTATTATCTGTGGTGATTTCTTTCTATATTATGTATGTATTTATAAAAAGGGTATGTAAGTATTTATATCAGTTGTCTAGTACCCGTAACACAAGCTCTGATTAGTGTGGAACTAGATGGCGCTGTGTGAATTGTCATGAGATAAGATAACATATCGTTATCACCTACCACAGATAGCGTCAATAACTTATTCATCATCACTATATAGTATAAAACAAAGTCGCTGTCGCTGTCTGTCCGTCCCTATGTATGCTTAAATCTTTAAAACTACGCAACCGATTTTGAAGCTGTTTTTTTAATAGATAGAGTGATTCATGAGGAAGGTTTATATATATAATATAGCTAGTTTAAAAATGTAAGTTAAACAATTTTAATTTATAATTGTAATAAATTTATACTCTGCTAGCTTTTGCCCTCCGCTTCGCTCGCGTTAATTTATCCCCTTAGGGGTGGAATTTATCAAAATCCTTTCTTAAGGGAAGCCTACGTCATAGTAGCTTTTTGTATGCAAAGTCTCAGCCCGATCGGTTTAATTTCGTTTATGCATGAGTGAGCTACAACCACATAGGATGTGTAGTGGCGTTTCCTCTTCAGTTTGGCAGAATCTGCAGATCAGTCAAACGTCTATCAGAAGTAGAATAGATCTATGCAGCACTGCGACCTACATAGATCTATTGTGCTCGCCCTTTTTCAAAGTCCGCTAGACCCGTCAGGGACAAGAATTGAAGGATATTCTTAGGAGCGATGGTTTTTATCTCGTTTATGCATGAGTGGGCTACAACCACATAGGATGTGTAGTGGCGTTTCCTCTTCAGTTTGGCAGCATCTGCAGATCAGTCAAACGTCTATCAGAAGTAGAATAGATCTATGCAGCACTGCGACCTACATAGATCTATTGTGCTCGCCCTTTTTCAGAGTTCGCTACCTAGATCCGTCAGGGACAAGAATTGAAGGATATTCTTAGGAGCGATGGTTTTTATCTTCTCAGGATAGAGTGTAAACTTTCCAAAGCAGATACTTGAGCATGAGTGGGCTACAACCATATAGTGTAGTGGCGTGTTACCATATCATTGTAAATAAACTGGCTTTTTTAAAATAAATATTCAATTGAGTTTCTTGCTAGTTCTTCTCAATTGGATCTATATACTGAACTGGATGGTAGGGAAAAAATTGTAATATAAAAAATTTGACGTTCATAATAATAATAATAATAATCTCAGGACAATTCACACAGCGTCATCTAGACCCAAGTTAAGGTAGCTAAAGCTTGTGTTATGGGTACTAGATAACTGATACAAATACATATATATATATTTTTTGTAAATACATACATATTATACATATAAAACATCCAAACTGTTACAAACAATCATACTCATGAATACAAATGTTTGTGCCGTACGAGGAATCGAACCCGCGACCATCTGTCGTAAAGTGGTGTACTACACCGCTAGACCACTGAGGTCGTCCATGCGTCTAAAATGTCGTACATGATTAAATGGTTTTTTAATTTCAATTTGAAAGTGTAGTGCTACGCATTGAAAAGTTACTTGTAGAAGTGATTCGTAGCATTTCGTAGCATTCATTCTACGCCGTAGGCCGTACTTGCTACATATTTCTTTGTACATATATACGTATACGCATTTAATAAACTTCCTAACCTCGGTGGTTTAGCGAATTACCACACCGCTTTACTGCCGATGGTCGCGGGTTCGATTCCTTGTGCAAACGTTTCTATTAATAGTATTTTTTTTATGGATGATAATGGATTGGTAGGCCTGCGGTAACGGTTTACGCTGGCGGGGCACCAGTGGAGGATGTTAAGATGAACTCATGTTCAGGTCAGTTAGCTCATTGTGACAAGTTCACCAAGAATTTATCAAGATGGTTTCCAGGGGAAACCGCATGGAGGTCAACCTGACATGGTACATTGCTAGCAATAAGATCATCAGTCCACATTACTTACAATCCCCGTCCCCCTTAATGAGTATGTTTGTTTATATGTGTCTTTGTATAGGTTTTCTATGTACCTATATTATATACATCTAAATATATGTAACTCAAAGGTGACTCTACGTCAGTCACCTGCCTAAATCACTGGACGGATCGGGCTGAAATTTGGCATGCAGGTAGATGTTATGACGTAGGCATCCGCTAAGATAGGATTTTGATTAATTCTACCCCCAAGGGGATAAAATAGGGGATGAAAGTTTGTATGAAACTTTGTCAATTTTAAACCGATCGGGCTGAGATTTTGCATGCATAAAGCTACTATGACGTAGGCATCCCCTAAGGATTTTTATAAATTCCACCTCTAAGGGCATAAATTAACGCGAGCGAAGCCGCGGGCAAAAGCTAGTATTTACATAAAAATGTATCTAAGTATTTATATCAGTTGGTTTGTATCCCATAACATGACTTGTGTCATGTTCGGCTTAGTTTGGGAGAAAAAACACCCAGACCGATACAAACAATCATACTCATGAATGCATTTGCACCGTGCAAGGAATTCAAATTCAAAAATCATTTATTCATGTAGGACATTTTAGCCGCTTATAAACGTTAAATGTGGAAGGTGGA